GAGAGACGAAACGTTTCTACATTTTTTGTTGATTTGCTTTGTTTTGTTTTTTTTTGAATGTCCAGAGGACCAGATTTAACTTTTTTAGACTGTTATCAGTACATTTCTAATACACTAATTCCCAATAGACAGACACCAGTTTGAGAAACTGCTAGTCAGATTTTTTAAAAATCTGTAATCTGTTATGTCTTAAAAGTACTACAAGTAATGTAAAAACAAATGCAAAAAACAAAAGCAAGTTAAATTTCTTTTTAATTACAAGTATTTTTGTAGTTTTGCATATAATTTAAATCTCCCATTTTGTGGCAAATGTTAAAATTCTTTCTATATTTCATGTTAAATTGAGACTGAGTACATGGTATACAAGGAAACTAAATTTTTACATTTCAAAACAACAAAATGGGGAAAAATTTATATTTTTTTTAGATTTAGATTTTTAGATATTTAACAGCTGACAAACACTAATTAGTACAAGCTGTGTGCAACTTTTGAAACTTCAGTAAACTATAAGATTAGTCTAAGTAATTTAACTAAACTTACAGTTTATATAACTTTTTGACATGCAGTTTATCACTTATAGTTTCATATTTCATTAAGTATTCATCTGTGTATCTAAATACACCATTTTTTTTGTTCTGTGTAATGTGTTGACCTCTTCATCTTATCTTTTGACCTTGGTTTTTTTGTTGTTGTTCCTTTTTATTTTGTCAGGATGATCATGACAGTGGCTCTAGCTCTACCAATCGCAGTATCTCAGACAGCTCCAAGCTTTCAGCCAAGCCCCGTCGCATCCAACAGGCAGCCCCTAGTGACCCGGACCTTCCCCCAGGTGAGTGTTGTCTTTGGACTCAATGACGCTGTTTTGGCTTGCTAGGAGAGTAATCACCAGAGTAAACTGGCTACAAATGATCTACTCTACAAAATGTTATATTTACTATCTTAGCCCAATTCCCAAACGGAGTGGTTATTGTCTGTGAGTTGTTTACATAGTGGAAAATATTAAAAATGAGCAGAATTGTGCTTTTGTTTTTGCCAGTGTACATTCTGTCTGCATTTGCTATGTTAATGTTGTCCCAAACTTTCTGAGCACACTCCACAAGCTGTATCAGGTTTTTAGGGATGATGTCTCCACATTTCATTTTTCAGGCAATCTCATAGATGTTTGGTAGGTTTAAGGTCTTTGCTCATGGAGGGCCAGTTTAGAACAGTCCAGTGTTGAGTAGGGGTGTAACGTACGCTAAACTCACATTTCTGTTTGGTTCAGTTTCAAGGAGGGCTCAGTTCAGTAAATATTTTGCTACAAAAAAGGCCAAAATAAAGACTTACAAAATGTTTATTTTGAAAATATGCCAAGTAAACAAGTTTAGTCATTACAGACTTCTTACTGGAGGTGATCTGGTGGATGAAGAAGACTCGGCTGCTATCTTCGTTGACATCCTCAGACTGCAAATAACACGGATATAAAAAATTGAGTCAATTAGATCACAATAATACAATAACAATACCTCTTCTTGCAGTCATCATATGAGGTGGTTGAATATTCTCGCTCGCTTATCATCGATGTGGCAGGGCTTTAAAAATTTGGGGTTGGGCTTGTTGACAATATCAGTTTTAGCTTTTTCATAAAGTGCTGCTACAACTTTGTGGTTGAAGTGATGGGATGTCGTAGGCAGCGGAGCTCAAGTCTTTAATCATATGCTTAAAACCAGCGCATCATCAACATTTGGAAGTAGATGCATAGCTTTAAAAACTCCTACAGCTTGTGTTATTGCTTTGGACTGATCTGAATTACCTGATAAAGGTTGTTTATATGCTGCCGTTATCGGTGTTTGCACCAAACTACGTTCATATTCGGATGATGTCGTTTCAAGTGCGTTAACAAGTTAGACATGTTGCCTGCTGCAGATCCAATCTCCATGAAACAACCTCGACACACAGCTTTGGATTTACACTTGTCTTTTAACAAGAAAGCCATAATGTTCCCAAACAGGAACGAGATGCTAGGCTGCTAATGCTATGCGTGCTGCAAGATAATAGCGCCGTGCTGAAACAAGCTTAGGAACTTTAGTTTTACGACGCATAATCTCTCATTAATAAAATTTATTGAGAGAAAAAATAACCGAAATGGTACACACGTGAACCGAACATGCTGTACCGAGACGGTTCAATACACCTTCATGTACTGTTACACCACTAGTGTTAAGCTTTTATTTCTCAGCTATTCTTGAGTGCTTTAAGCATCTTTGGGTCATTATCCTTTTGAAAGACGCATGGCCTGTGACTGAGGCTGGGCTTTCTGATACTAGGCAGTGTTTTGCTCCAGGATGCCTCGGTAGTCTTGAGAATTATTTGTGCCCTGTACAGATTCTAGGCTCTCTGCGCCAGATGCATCAAAGCAGCTCCAAAACAAAACTGAACCTCCTCCACATTTCACAGAAATTATGTTCTTTGAAAGTTTCATTTTTTTTCTTCTGTAAACACGGAGCTAATGCAGCTTGCCAAAAAGATTCAGTTTTGTCTCATCACTCTGAAGAGAATTCTCCCAGAAGGTTTGTGGCTTGTCAACATGCATTTTGGCAAATTCCAATCTGGTTTATTTATTTTTGTCAATAGTGGACCCCTCCTTGATCTTCCATGGAGCATATTATGATTTAACTTGTGATTGGTGGTGCAGTTAAAGTGATTTACCATGACCTTGTGGTTTGGCTGGAATGGTTTTAAATGGTTTCCTTGGCTCTTTATCTACCGTCCAATCTATCCATCTGATCAACCTGGGGTTGCTATTCCTCTTGTGTCCAACTCCTGGAAGGCTGACCAATGAATTTTTACACTTTTTATCGGCTATATCATGGTCAGAGGAACATAAAGCAGCTTGGCGATGGTCTTGTAGCCCTTATGTTTTAGCATCTATATAGACAATCTTCTGTTTTTCAGACAGCCCTCACCCTTGTTTTTGTTCTCCATGCTGAGTCTGGTTAGGGTTATTAGTTTTAAATGTGACTATTCTTCAGAAATTCTCTTTACTGATGCCAACCAATCTACGGTATTAATTTATTCCGGCATATCTTTTTTTAAACAAACAACAAATTGGTTCTTCTTCCTATTTTATTCTATCATAAAGGCATACACTACAGATATTCACTAGATAATTATTTTAAGTGAACCATTCTTCAAGGAGAAATTAATCTGTTTCATTGAGCTGTAAGGATTTTCATACATATAAAAAGCTCTAAAGTCCTAGTAACTCGGATAAAATATTGACCAACCACTTAATATTGGAAAAATGTAACACTGGAAGAAAAATCAAACCATTTGAAGGTTTTGTATTAATTGTAGACTTGGTGATTAAAGAAATGGAGAAGTGAGAAAGAAAAACAGGCAAATGAAACCTCTGGATATAAGGTTATAACAAGTCAGTTTGGAAAACAATGAGCCCCAAGCTATAAGAGTTAAGTCAGTGTACCATCCAAAGGTCAACTCTCAGACCTCTAGTAAGCTTAAATCTAGGAAGTTACTCTCTTGGCTGGTTTTGTCAGGGGAGGATCCATTTCACGACCTGATGTTATGAGATAATATCTCTCCCCAGCTGTTAAAGCAGGCTGCCCCACACCCTAGCATCTCCCATGGTGTCTGCCTTCAAGATACCTAAAGTGGTGTGTGCGTGTGTCAATACATCACTTTGTTTATCCTTTTAGTGTATCTGTTCATTTGTGTGCGTATGTGACACTGTTCCAACAGCGGTCCCTGTTTTAACCCAGTACAGGCTATCCAGACAACTGAGGGGTCGGAGGTTGAAGCAGCTCATTAATACCAAGGAAACATGAATGCTGTAATCCCAGACTTTCTCATTAAAAACTAGAGGTTAAAAGGTAGATTAGGTAAAACTAACCTGCTATGACTCAGACAGAGGATATTTTTGTTAGAATAAGATACATGGCAAATATGTCAAAAGTTTTTATTGTATTTCAAGGTTGTGTTCTAAAATTAAAGACATCAGTGTACATCACTATATTTTAGACTACTTTCTTTTGATATGAATACAAATTTTATTTGGCGGGTTTTCTATTTTTTATTTTTCCTTTTGTAGGTTATCACTCTTTAAATGCTGATTTTGTAGTTTTGTATTAAATACAAACACTTTTTTTCCCCATGTTTGGAGAGAAGCTATAAACCTGTTAAGACAGTTTAAATGTTGCTTTATTGATTTAGTCTTTAACATCTAAGACAGCACCATAATAGTCTGAATTGCTTCAAGACATTTCTAATCTGTAGTTCAGTACATGGAGAACATTAATCCTTGCAACTCATTTTTTACATAACTGCAGAAAACATCATTTACTGTGGAACTAACATCTTATTAGACAACTTTTTATTGTGATGGTTCACTTGCAGTTTCACACATACCATACAACGCTTGTAAAACATAAACATACAAATTAACCAGGAAAAACTCAACCGCTAGCATGGAAAAGTGCTTCATTTTTATGTAACATTTTTAAATTCCAGTCTAAATTTTGGGATACTTGGAATGTAGTATGTTGTTTTACTGTTGGTGAGAATCTGAGCAGTAGAAACTCAAGTTTATTTTGAGGGTTGCAATATTTGAGTTCAGTTTATTTTTTACATTATAGGTGATCTAGAAATGTTATCAAATATTTCTAAGACATGATCAATAAGCTTAAACTGGTATCAGACATGGCTAATTTAGGCACCAATGGGTACCACATTATTGGGTTCATTTATTCATAGCAACAATTAATAAAAAATGTTCCTAAAATATTAATTTTGTTGCACTTAAGAGTTTTTGTCTCTGAAGACAGTGATTTACAGAGGCATCATGTCTGCACCTAGTATAAGAAAGGTTTTTGTTAGTTGCGAGGCCATCATCATTATGTGTTAAACTATTGTACTTCCTTTGCCCTTGTCTTGAAAAGGTCTTGAAAAGACCGTTCTTTCATTAACTCTTTTTTAAAAACAACTCCATAATAAACCTATTTACAGTAGACATTTTGTCTTATTGTCTGTTTAGTTTTTATTTTTTGCTCCGTGCCTGATTGTTTCAGTAGTGCTTTAACATTTACAGAGACAAGAAAAATGTGTTTTTTTGCAACTCTCAACAGAAAAACTTTTGGACTCTATGAATCCCTCAAAAGAACAAGTTTTCCTCGTCATTTTAGGCTTGAAATGTTTATAGTTGTATTTTGTCTGTGGGTCTATCACAGGTGCTGGTTTTGTCAATTGTTTACAGAAGTTTGGAACTGCTTGACGGTTTGCAAAGAGTACGACTGCACAGCAACAGAAGGCATAACAAATATCAGAAGGTGTAAAAGGGAAAGAAAGACGCTGTAAAATGAGTAAATTGGATCCAGAGTGGGACGTAGCAGGGGGTAAAGTGTGGGTTTACTGGCCAGGCTGCTGAGGCAAGAGCAGCTTTTTGATTGACCCCAGACACACACACACACACACTCACACACACACAGGGACACACACACGTACACACGGACACAGACTGAGGTCCACACCTGCCTGCACCATGCATTAATGTTACAGGAAGCGTGTTTATAAGTTGAGTTGATTCTGCTTCTTGCTGTCTCCGTGTTTGGTCAGGCAGAAAACTCACGAGGAGTTTTGTTAATTGGATTGTACCAATATGTAATAAGCCTGTGTACAAGAGACAGAACAGTAAAGCTATTCATATGAATGTTTCTGTCAACAGCGCATTTTAGCTCTGCCTAATTATTGATTGTTATTCTTTAAGCCAGGCATGCAGATGCAGGAAGACAAACATTTGGTTTAGAAATGAATCAAAAGCAGTATAGGTTTATATAGTCTTAACTTGTAACTGCTGAGCTGAACATTAAAAGGGAGGGATGAAAAATGTGATTGGCCTTGTGGTTGAGAGAATTATTAGTGTATATTTTCATACTTTGTGGTTGAAACTCCCAGCTCTGTGATATATTAAGATCTTTTTGTTAAGATCTTGCTTCTTATAAAATGTTTCTGATGAGAAGGTACTTCTACCGGTACAGAATCCCTCTTTTAGTTTTATGAGTCAAGTCAGTCGAGACCGTTTTTCTCTCCTTTTTAATTTCGCCACAAAATTAACATTACATTTGATTTTTGAAGTAAGGTCTGAAGTGAAAACTTCCTTTTTGTTTGCCAGACTGGGTCCTTGTTTGTTCTGATAGTGTATACTTTTTTGATTCCTTGTAAGACTAATACTCAAGCTTTGCAATGCACCCAGGGACTTTTTTCTCCTAAATAATTACAAGATAAAACTATATACTTTGATGTGTAAATGTTCACGTAATGATGCTTAAATATATTAAATAGAGCTTGGATTTTTTTAAATTTTTATATGTGGTTTATTGTGGGATTTTATTTTTAAGCCAGCTTGTACATAGTGTTGGGAAATCTATGATTTTAGTATTGATAAATTCACCACTGCTAGATATTAATATCATTTGAAAGTTAGCCCAGTGGCCTGGAACTTTCTCATATTTACACCCCCCCCCCCCCCCCCCACACACACACACAGTTTTAGAAACTTGTAAAATAAGGGAGCAGATATTTATATTATTTGAGATAAAATTTCTAAACAGTTTAATGTCACTGTTAATATTTTTCAATAGCCTGCTTTCATCGTCAAAGGCCAAACTGGATATTTACCAGTCTAAAGGAAAAAAGTACTGCAGGCCACACAATTGTAACACACTCTTTTTCAAAGATGTATCTTTCGCACCATTTGTTAAAACATCAGAAATATTAGCTCGGTGTGACTGATGTATGAGCTTGGTTAGGATTTTTTGTCGTATTTATTTAACAACAAAAGATATGGTGATGTTTGAGCCAATAAGTAATTAGATTTACCTGTTGTGCAACAGTTGCTTAATTTGTGTTGCCTTTTATGCAACAACTTGACTGACTGTGACGTCAGATCAGGCAAATAATAAATTGCATTTTTCCAAGTTGACTTCATGACCACAGGTAAACTTAGAGCAATTCTCTTGCACATATGCCTGTGTAATTTCACAATACAAAAGTAAACCAACTAAAACTCCTAAAATGGCATTAGTTTGCTAAACATGCCCTATTTTACAAAGCTAATAAACACTTAATGACTAAAGTGAAGCTAGCTACACCACACAGCTGTCAGTCTGCTTTTATTTTTGATATTCGGTAAACATGGAACCTCATCTGAATATAAAACAGTTTCACCATCTTTTCTGTGTTGTTGTGTGTGAACATGTGTAGATGTTTCTCAGCCGCTGATATGCATTCTTTCAAGGAGTATTTGTTTTGATTGTCTAATTTCACATTTCTTAATCCGTTTGTTTTTTGTTTGTAGGTTATGTGCAGAGCCTGATTAGGCGTGTGGTGAACAACGTAAACATTGTGGTCAACAACCTGATCCTCAAGTATGTTGAAGATGATATTGTTCTTTCCGTCAACATAACCTCAGCAGAGTGCTACACAGTGGATGATTTATGGGAGAGGGCCTTTATGGACATCACTGGTGAGTAATTCGATTACTTTTCTTTTTAATGGTAATTAGTCATTACACAGAGACAACTATTTAAATCCTATAAGTTTGTTCAAAGCGAGAGAAAACCAATGTATTGGACAAGCATTAATAAACCTATTTAAGTACTTTTTACTTGATAGAAAATACTCCGAAAAGCTCTTTGTAATTTTGTCTAGTATTGATTAATCAGTGACTGTAGATAATCTAATGGTTTTATGTCCTCCACCTACAGAGGTTCAATCAGTTCAAAAAGGAAAATGAGATTTATTTACACATTGCTGATTCAAAAAACGTTCAATACAAAAACAACTGGACTTTATTTGTAACAGAAGACTAAAATAAAACTAAATGAAAAATAAAGTCCAGTTGTTTTTGTATTGAAAGTTTTTTTGAATTCATCATGTCCTGGATGACTGAGAATCTTCACCAGCACATTGCTGATGTTACAGTTCTGGTGACTCTTACTATAGTCTGGTCTAAAGAGGTTTTCCAGAAAGGACAAAGCTTTGATGAAGGTAACTTTGAGTTTAGACAATTTTTGACTTGTCCTTTTTAGAAAGAGAGGAAAATAAAATGGAATGTATCACTATGGGAAGACTTTGTGAACTAAACCTGCTCACTGGCAAGTATCCTCCAAGGAACATTATGTTTCACCTGGTCTCCTCACACCTGAGCCAAGCTGTTCAACATGACATATTCCTTATAAATCAACCTGATTAATATCACTGAAGAATAATTTCATAAAACTTATACGGTCAGTGGGCGAGAATTTCTTGACCTAAATTGGATGTTTTCATAATATTTTGTGAAACCAGTATTGCTTTTCATCAGATTCACTCATTTATCTCATTAACAATATCCAGCTATGCATATCTAATTTAACACATTAAATATGATGATTGTTGTTCCAAGTCTTCTTTGGTGTGGACATAATGGCATTTGTTTGTAATTGTTTTTAGTTTTTGTTTTATTCCACTACAAATGTGAGGATCTATTTTAAGAAAGTATATGTTACTACCAGTTGTAGGATTAGAAACACATTATCTATTTATTGGGAAATGGTTAGGAAATGAAAAATAGTTCACAAATGATTATTATTAAAGTTATTTGACATTAACTTTTGTATTTTATTCTTTTTTTTTTGTAGCTTCAGAGCTAGTTCTGAGAAAAGTGATCAACTTTTCAGATTGCACCGTGTGCTTGGACAAGAGAAATGCCAGCGGCAAGATTGACTTTTACCAGGATCCCTTGTTATACAAGTGCTCCTTCAGAACACGACTGCATTTTACGTACGAAAACATCAGTTCCAAGATCCCATCTGTCATCAAGGTAACTTCATATTTTAGTCATAACGACAAGAATCGAGCTCGACATTTTAACTTTTTACATCCGTTTTGTTTTGTTCTGTTTCACATAAAAGTGCTACTCAGTGGAGTCTGAACAAACGACGTTTCCTTTGCATTTCAGTTCATTTGGAGCTACTTTGTTTTTGTGAAGAGATTTGTTGTATGGTTACCTTTAAAAGTACAAATCAGAAAATGTTGACCGAACTGACAAAATGTAATTTATTTGTAAAAACCAACAAGCTTTTGAGTTTTTCATTCTATACATTTTTTTTTTGTGTAGAAACATGCTAAACATCTTAGTGTTTCAGTGTTGGCTTAGGAAGTCTGAGAATGGTTTTAAATGGGTGGAGTGACCAGTTCTACAACACATAAAGGTGTACAGATTTATGGTTGAACAGATCTGGTTTTGTAAGCTTAAAATAATGTTTGCTATTTGACAACCATTTATTGGTTAACCTCCAACTTTCATATTGTAGATATACACAGTTATTTCTATACATTTAATAATGAATAAAGTAGGTATTCATATAGGCATTCAGATTATCATTAAGGTCTAAATTTAGTCAACAGTTAAATTGGTTATATACCTAATCACCATGTAGTACAATACTTTCTATATTTTTTCATTCTGAGTATCGGTATCTTTATAACTGTTTAAATTCTCAGTTTACTTCCTTCAGTGAGGTTCTAAAGCATATGTGATCTTCACTCTGTTGTATTTTTCTAGCCTTCATACTTTTATTAATTTAATGCCAAACTGTTTAATGTTCCAAAAACCAATCTTCATGAATACATTATTAATTTTCTATTTCATATCTTTTAAGATTCACACGATGGTGGAAAGCCTGAAGCTGTCCATTACTGACCAGCAGCTGCCCATGTTCATCAGGATTTTAGAGCTGATCATCGCCCTCTATTATGGGGAAATAGGAGGACACAACCAGAATGAGGGTGAAGAAGGAATTGGTCATGTCAGAGATAGCGGAGCGAGTTCACCAGGTGAGTGAAGGCATGAGGAGACAATATAGTCTTGTACCCTGAAAAGTATTTTTGCTATGGGCTATTTGTATGTAAAATATACCATGGATTAAAGTTCTTAATCACTTTGAACATGGCCAGGACAGATTTTTGTCATCTGTAAAAATGAGGAGGGGGAAGTAGTGATTTTTTTTTTTTTTTTTTTTGTGGTCTTGTTAAAGCCATCCAATCTAATAATGATGCAGGGATTTAACTGATGCCACTTTCAACAAATGGAGAACCAGAGTCACAGCTTGAGCCAATCAGAGCAGAGCAGGGTGGGTCGTGCTGTCTGATTCTCGGTGAGTCCAGGTGTAAGCAGCAGAGAGAAACCACAGGTAAAAGCTCACCTGCAGCAGGCCAAGGACGACACCCCGCTACCCTAACATAACTGCCCACCCCTTCATGAATGTGATAACGTATAATAAATTATTAAACGTCTGTGCTTGCAAGTGACCAATTCACTGAAGCCGGGGAGATACGACAACTGATGACCATCACCTCCACTCCATCCTCCCGCACTATGCCCCGACCTCCTGGGTCTTCTGTATCTAAAATCTAACTTTTATTAAATGCTAGTGTGTTCAGTGCGTTGTCATCATACAGACATGTGCAACCTGTGCACGTGACCAAACTCCAGGTCTGAGCGACAGAGACATGCATCACCGCTTGTTGAGTTTCTCTCTTGGTGAGAGAGGCAGTTTCTACTGTCTTAGTGTTTCGAAAAAAATAAAATAAAAAACAAGGGTAAAGATGGACATTTATGACCCAGATGATTGTCTCTGTTTAATTTCCCTCTAAACTCAGTTCTCTGAGTCAGTTTCAGCTTTTCGTAGTTGATCATTTATATCTAAATAAATACATTTTTACATGGTATTATCACATTAGCAAGGTGTCTGTCTGGATGAGCTAAACTTGATTATATTTAGAACCATACTAAGAGATAACTGATGAATGTAATTTGATAAATGATCAAATATGAAAAATAAATAATCTTAAAGGATTACATGAGCTGAAATCCAGTAAATATAATCCTTTTGAATGAAATAATCATTTTAGGGGAGAAATCTGTCAGTCTGGCAGAAAAAAAAAGTTTTACTCCAAAGGACTTCCTGTGCTTTAATTTTTAAAAATATATTTGACAACCCCCCAGCTAAAAGCTCTGGGTAACTGGCTGGGTAACCTCCAAGTGTAGAAAAACTTCAGTTAAAAGATTTTTTTTCTGCTTTAATTCAGATATTCTACCCACAATAAATTTTGACTTTTAGCAGAAAGTGAACATTTGGGACATTATAAAGTTGCCTTTAAATTTTACTGTGGTTGAATTGGTACTAAGGTTCTTGTAGAACATGTTCATCTTATGACTCTTGACATTGTGCTTTTCCTGTTTGGAGCTTTTATTTTTCTTATACTGCTGCTGCTTTTCTTGTTCTTGTAAAGACATGACTGTATGCTTTAAAACTTTTGCACATGTCGTATACCGTTTTGTCTGTAGATAAAGGTTATTCGTACTGTATGTACTACATACAGTACAGTACTGTAAAATACTTTTAAAGGGCTCAGAATTTTCAAATAGCCTTAAAATCCCAAACTTTTAGAAAACGGACAGAAAACAGAGGGAGACGACGCCTCAAACAAGAATACATATTATACATGTACAAATACACACAAAATGTATACATAAATGTATACATGAATACTAATTTTGTTTCTTCAGAAAGTGCTCATTCATGTTCTTAAAGTTGAACAAGATCAAGACGCAGGTCTTCCTGAGCTAAATGGATTCTCTATAACAAGGAGCAACTTCTGGTGGAGTCGACGAGGTGCGCAGTGAAAAGCAGGAAGCACAACGCACTTCAGTTTTACTTTTTCCAACTTGCTCTCTTCCTCGTGGTCTGGAACTTTCACTGCGAGTTGGCGCAGCTTCCATCTTGGCGTCCACTGCCAGATGTAAGAGTCGTGTCATGCTGCTGCTATGCAGAACCTCTGAGAATGAATTAGTATCCCATCACAGAAATGTACAAGGGGGGCCTAGATCTTGGAACCTGAGCGCCCACAGTCCTTATTGTGTTTTTAAGTAATTGACTTGAGTGACGAAGCTGAAGTGGGGCTGGGTGCAGTCATGCATGTGCACTGTAAATGGTTGTTAGGTGTGTGTGTGTGTGTGTGTGTGTGTTGGGGTGTGCTCGTTCATGGACAGGTAGTTTTTCGTGTATACAACTTGTGTTAAGAAGTAAAGCTAAGCTTTTCTGAAAATGTTTGTAGCTGACCTGATATTTGACTTGGAAAAAATATAATTTAGTTAAGACTTTTTTTTTATATTGAACTTGAAGTGTTTTTTTTTTAAGTTATATTACTGTTTCAGCTGCTGTAGTTGGGCAGGAAGAATGGTTGTCTGCCAATCTGAAGGTTGTCCGTTTTATCTGGGCTTCCACCCACCACATGCCAAAGTGTCCTTGGGCAAGACACTGAACTCCCAATTTGCCCCTGACCTGCAAGGATGTGTGAGTTTGAGTAGGAATGGGTGAAAGTGACTTGTGTGTGTTTTGTGGTCTGTAACTGAAAACCTTAAATGCAGCCCATTCACCATTTAGTTATTGATTTTGCTTTCAGACATATTCTTTGCAATTTGTATTTTGTGTAAACTGTTTATATGACACAAGTCAAGTGTTTCTTTTGCACATGGAATTTCATAATTATTTAATTTAATGGGATGCTAGAGGTGAATTGCTGCTCCACTTCCATTTGTTGTTTACTTCATTTTAGGGATGCACGATATTGGATTTTTAGCCGATAGTGGTTATGCCGATATGTTAAAACATTTGGCCGATAACCGATACAGATATTTTATATACTTTCCTTTGTCAGAACATAGCCCTCTTATTTTGGCTTATTTGCTACAAAAATATGTAACAGATGCAAGAGCTGGCGATGTATATTCAGTAGCAGCCATATGATATGCATCGCACTTTAACTTATATTAAATGAAAAGTGTTAAATATTATGTATTAGCATTAGTCACCTGTGATGCTGTCTCACTTGTGGAGGCTTGTTCCAGCTTCCTAGCTGCAGTGTGGGATCCTCTGCACTCTTGTGCATGAAGGACAGACTTTTTCAGTTCAAAGTTTTTGTCTATCCATTGTGCCGTAAGACTAATCATGCTAACGGGGCTAACACGACGTCCAAATGTCTGTGGTAAAACTCACCCAAGTGCTATCGGCTATTAGCTTCTCATTGATGCCGGAAATGACGGCTTGTAACTCGGGTAAGCAGGTTACGTCGGAAAAATATCTCCGACCTAGTCCAAAAATCTTTGAAATCTGACATCCTCACCAATGGAAAAAAAAAAAAAAAAACCTTCCACACCACTGACATTTTGAATTTTCCTCTCCACCGTGAGATCAGGTAGGCGCACGTGACGTCATTGCATTGTGCTGCCGCTGCAGGCATCCTTGTCTCAGAGTTGTCATACAAAAACAGCGTCTTTTGTATCGGTGAGTTATTTTGATGGAATGTCCGATATTGAACTTTAACTCTAATGTTGGCCGATTCCGATACCATGCCGATAATATCGTGCATCCCTACTTCATTTACTTGTACAATTGGCACTGTCTTGATTTACTATGCTCTAAGCTCTAATTTTTAAAGTGGGTCTTTCTAAAAAATACTTTAAATAAAGTTTGGTTCTGTCCAATTATAACTGAATATTTATATATATCTATACATAAATATTTTCACAATTCTAGCTCAGACCCAGTGGTCCATTCATAAATGGTCACAAAAAATAAAGTTGGATATTTGTTTTTGCAGGATGCAGTACATTTTTTTGTTTAGGTCAATAAAATAAAACAAACAAAAAAAAACCCCATCCTTTCAGTCCTGACCCTATCTTTCAAGTTTTGGTTCTCTGAAACAGTCGGACCCTTCAGATACTTAGAAACACATTGACTGGGCCAGCTGGTGACTGTAGTGAAACCTGCAAACCTTGTGAGGTAACAAGCCTACTTCTTCTCAACTGTGCAGGGACATCTACTGGTTTTTGACAGCACTGCCCCCCCCCCCCCCCCCCGCTCCCCGTTCGCCCCCCCCCCCCCCCCCCCGTGTCCGTTCGGCCCCCCCCCCCCTTTTAGTTTCAAAGATATGTTTTGATGCTTGAAGATGCTCTCATTGATATGATATTGTCATTGCATGAGAAGATGCATTTACGTTCTGCCTGTGGATTTGTATATACAATAATTCAAATTATGTCACACTTCTTGTAATGGTTGTCTCAAAAAAGAGCCAGTCAGCACTTAGACTGATGGTGACTATGTGAACAAGATGTATTTCACACCCGTGAGGTCAAATCACTCTGAGTTTTACTTGCTTTTGGCCTAATACTTTCAAGTCACCTCAAGTTATTTTTTTTTAATCATTTAATGCATTATTGTACTTCTGTTAGATTAACTTCTAATTCAGATTAGCCTTCGTCAGTATATGATGTCAAGTGGAAGAGCTTGACCCATCAAAGCTGACACTTGTGGCCTTCACAAAGTAAAAACAAAAACGTGCAGAAACGAGGGGCAGAATCAGACGATAAAATTAGACTAGAAAGAGAGAACAAGAGCTCTAACATGGGAATTTCAATTGCCAATTCATAAAGTGAAAGATTTAATTAAAATGTGTCACAATTTTCACTGCCTTGGCCTCTGGGATTCCTAAACGATGACTTCATAGACAATGTTGTTTCATGCATCGGACATGAGGCAGTAAGGAATGGGATTACACATTCTTGTGTATTGACATCAATTTCCTGTATTCCGACATGTATGGAAACAGACGTGATAATACCAGTTTACTGGTTACGGTATGAACCTGAGGGATTTGTGGTGATTTGGAGATCCGTGAACCTTCAAAAGAAAGGGAGAAAAACACAAGGAATAATACAGTGAACTTCTCAAGGTGGTGATATGGAATTCATTCAAATCATAAACAAGACAGTT